GACAGACATCCTTTCTAAAAGAGTGCTCCTCCAAGGGTGATCTTCAGCTCAGCAGCAGCACCTGGGAGCTTCTTAGAAGCACAGAATCTGGGCGCTTACAGACCAGCTGAGTTCAAATTACAGGTGAATCATACACACTTTAAAGTCGGGGAGCCTTGATTTTAGCACTCTCCACTCTCCAGGGGAGGAGGCATCTCCTCCACCAAACAGATCTCCCAGGGCAGTGCTGTGAGTGTCTTGGAGTGTGTAACAAGCTGCTGACATGGGGCTCAGGAGCTGCAAATAAGGGCAGCAGTGAGATGAAGTGTGAGCCTCCAGTGAGGCTCTGCTTCTGTCGTTGCTCTTCTCTGCCCTCTGAGAGGGGAGGTACACGTTAGGTGCTCAGTCTTTGCCTCATAACTATGTAGATCATCCGGAGACCTGGAGTATTGCTTCCATAGTTATAAGAAGGTTCATAACAGATGTCACCCATGTGTCATCCAGGAAGGGATTTGCTCCCTTCCTGTGCTCCATCAAGACTGCACGTCTCTACTAGGGAATGCACCACTGTGATTGATTCATGCATCCCCATCCCTCACTTTATATTGTGTGATTCTTCATGACCCAGACGAATATATAAAAGGAGGAGGAAAGAAAGGAGAGAGGGAGAGAAGTAATGGACTTGAGTTTTAGAAAACTGAAGGTACACAAATATCCTGGATGTTGGAGAGTATGGAATGAAAGTATGCTGAGAAGTGAGTGTTCAGAAAGAGAAAAAAAAAAAAAAACCTTAAGGAGGTAGGGATGAAGCTGTTGGTTACAGATAAGGGAGCAAACTAAGAATTAAGGTCACTTAAATATAAGTGTGGAGCCAACATGGGAATCCAGGTCTGTCTGATGGATGGCTTATGTGTCTTCTGTATCACCCTGCTTTGAATGTCGTAAAAGGCTAGCCCTAGAAGTTTTCCCCAGTAGCCCCAGAGCACACCCAACTCCCTCATCCACAGGGACACAAACTCCCAGAGAGGTGGAGTGACTTGTCCACAGTTACAGAACTGGCTGGTGGCAGAACCAGAATAAGAAACCAGAAGAAAGGTATGTGTCTTCAGCCTAGTCATGCCACCTGAATTTCCCCATCTTATCTCTCCAGATCTGGAGTGCAGGCCTTAGTTTTGTGTCTTGGATGGCCCCTTCGGTCCACAGTCTCTTGCTCTTCCTCTGCAAGAAGCAAGGACTCTTGGTGTACAGCAGAGTGTTGCCATGGTGATTATATAGTTTAAGGCCTTTGGAGGTTAGTGGTACCCAGATGCCTTTAACCTTTACATGGAAGATGTTTTACAGAAACTATCAGATTTGTAAAGATATTCAAAGTCTAATTAGTGACAGGATGCTGTAATTAAAAAGCACTGAGCTGATAGAGTCATCAGGAAACTAGAAAGTTCACCCCTCCATCTCAGATGGAAACATGTCTGCTCTGTGTTTAGAGCTTCCCAGGGGAGAAACTTCAGTCTTTTCTCTCTCACTTGTTATAGCCACTGCTTATTTTTGCTAGAAACAATCCCCGGGAAAGATGTAAGGATTCTTTCACTTCTTTACTTATTCTGTCTGTGCTGGGTCTTCACTGTAGGGTACAGGGGTTTCTCTAGTTGCAGTGCATGGGCTTAGTAGCACTGTGGCATGTGGGGCCTTAGTTTCCTGACCAGGGATCAAACCCACGTTCTCTGCATTACAAGACAAATTCTTAACCACTGGGCCACCAGGGAAGTCCCATTCTTGCCTCTTCAGTAGTCCTCTTCTGCTTTCTGGAAAATGGTCTTTGCTTCTCCATCCTCATACTTCCAAGCCCTGAACTGGGTCCTTGTCATCTCCCAAGATGCAGATGTCATTTACTGGCAGAGAAAGAGGTAGAGAAAGCAGATTCGACTGCTATTCCTAGTCCTGTTAATAGATACAACCTTGGGAAAGTTCTGTCACCTCTTCCTCATGTCAGAAATCAATAGACTGGATGACCTCTAAGAAACTTCCAGTTCCAAAAATCTAACCCTCTAGTTTGCCACTGAGCTAAACTTGACTATTTCTTCCTCAGCATATTTTATTTTTAGACAAAACATAATAGCAAAAAGGTCTCTTTTGTATGTAAGAGAATAAACTTACATGATGAAATTACAGATATTAGAAGTGCTATTTTTGGTCAAGACACCACGTAGGCAATGTCTTCTGGCCACTCAAGGCAGTTCTGCCCATCATGATCACAGTTTTCATATTTAGTGAAATTTAGAAAAATTTCACTATTTTCATATTTCCTATCAGGAACCAGATCTGAACTATATCTGATACCCAATATTAAAAGCAATCTTCATTTCTGTTTTTTGGCTATGGATGCATGAGTATGCATTATATTATCAGCAGAAGATGTTAAATATATAATTTAGTATTAGTGGTATTAGTCTCAAGTATTAGGGCAGATTAGCATTTGATGTATTAGTTCTTCAGGGGTTACAATTAACACTTGAATTTCCAATTGTTATATCCACTAACTGAATTGTGATTTGACTTTTAATTCCACAATGAGTTCACCAGCATTGACAACCTAGTACTGATTAATTAATGACAATTCTTTATTTGCAACTGTGTCTGAGACTAGGTAAGTCACATCCTCTGATTATTGTAGACTCTTCAGGCAAACATTTAGGGATGGCCTTTCCTTATTATGGCATTTTTCAGCCTAGCTCTCTGAGAAACACATACTGAAGTCAAGCCTTTAAAAGCCTTGTAAGAAAACCTACACATCCTTTACTCTCCCTCTTCTTCCCACCTGCCTTCTAGAAGCTGAGTCTTTGGTCTGCTGCTTTGATCCAAGCTCTTCTATACCAGGTACCCCATCACTGTCTCAGTACAGAGGCATCAGGCATCCATCACAGATAACAGCTGAGTAGGTCAAATATAAAATTGTCTACAACTATAATCAGTAATGGCTTTTAGGCCTTCTATCAATATGGTGCTTACTTCTTGGCTCAGATGGACACTCCTAAATGCTTACCAACCTGTAATAGTACGTTTGGGCTTCCCTGGTGGCTCAGTGGTAAAGAGTACGCCTCCCAATGCAGGAGATGCAAGTTCAATCCCTGGGTCGGGAAGATCTCCTGGAGGAGGAAATAGCAATCCACTGTAGTATTCTTGCCTGGTAAGTCCCATGGACAGTGGAACCTGGTGGGCTACAGTCCATGGGGTCACATAAGAGTCAAACACAACTTAGCAACCAAACAACTAAAACAAATACTACTTTTAGATGGAATTGATACACTCAGCTTCATGGTTTAAACCTTGAAGCAGGCAAGATGTGGAAATTTTTGTAACTGAATGCATCTATTTTTAAAACCCTGTCACACCAGAATCTTCCCAGAGCTTTCCTAAGACAAGGAGTCTGAGATAAGGAGATGTAGCATCCTTCCTAATAACCCTGTAGGTGGGCTCTTCCCTGGTCCGCTCTCCAATTCAGAGACTGAGAGCTGAAGTCTCCCCTACCCTCAGCTGGGACACTGGCTCAGGTGGGACATGAGCCCTCGTGTACTGACTCAGTTCCCACTGGGACAATGACCTTCATGCTACTGAGGATCCAACTGCTAATTTTGTGCACAACATTTTCTCGATTGCTGTCCTCCACACTCTGAACATTGCTATCCACGATGTGCCTTTCATTTGTGGGTGAAACCCTCTGCCCACCCATTCCTATGGCATGTAGACAACCAGACTCTCCTATCTGCCTTACACCTCTCAAACCCCATCCAGGAAGGCTATCAAAGCCTCACCACCAGTTGCAATCCCTTTCTCAACAAAAGCACACTGCTCTGGCACATCAACACCCCCACTGATGAAAATGACATCTGCTGGTTCTATGTTCCACAGAAGAGGAACTTGATACAAACTCCCTGAAGCAAGCAGTGATTGAAGCATTAATAGGCACCCAATACCTGCATTAGTCCCCATATCATTCCATCACTCCAGATTTCTACACTAAAAGCCTTTAGGGGAGTTGTAAAGAAAGAAATGCCCTAGGCTGCTTATGTCTACCAAGGATTTCAGGTCTTCTTGGATTGATGGTACAGTAATAGAATGCTGAATTCTTCTCTCTATACAATAATAAATGTAGACGGCCCTGGGCAGAGAGACATGACCATCCTTTCTGTCTCCCAGTTCATTTTGTACCAACCAAGATGTACCAGAGGTAGGGAATGAGGTACTTAGTATGTACCTGGTGACTTTTGCCTGAATAAAATGGGGGTTGTCATGCCTACGCATTGTACTTGGATCATGTGGAGAATAGACAGGGAATTGGTTCTCCAAAAGATTTGCTATGAAATGCTTCTCATACCACCTGAGGGAGGCACTAAGGGAGAATGATGAATTATTCTGTGTGGCTTATGTCAAACCTGCTTTTTAGGCTGGGGAAGTAGTCATCAGACAGAAGGGAGAAAACCAAGGCCATAGCTGCATGGTTCCTGATTTTAGCAAAGGGAGATCCCAGACCATAAGATGCAGAGTATGGAAAATTCTCCTGATGTCCGCAGCATGGTGGCCAAAGGGGAGCTCCCCCGCCCCCAGCAGGCATCTACCCTAGACCAATGGCTGCAGTTTTCCTGAAAAGTAAGAGCTTTCATACTCTTCTCCTGACAGTGGGTGGTCTTGGTTCCAGGACCTGTGTCAGCCCCCGCACCTGGGATAAAAGGTGTGGGATGAGCCAGATAATTCTCTGGCAGAGTTCTGCCTCACTCCATCCTTTATCGAATCTCCATCTCAACCTCTCTCTCTGTCTCTCTCTCACACACACAGTCAAGCCAGACATGCCTTCACCTGTGTGTTCACTAATCACCCAGCCTCCTAGCAGCAATATCCTCCATCCATGGGACACCCACATGTCACACACAGAGCAATTTTTAACAATCCAAGCAGCCCAGGAAACTATCCTTTTCTTCTTTTCGCTCTCATTTTCCCCCTAAAAAAGGTCTTTTTAAAAATATATATATATTAAACCAGGTCAGTTTTACCTCATAGGTTCATGTGGCTGGAGCTGATTGACAAGAAAAACAATCACAAAATAAATATTTTTGTTTTTTCTTTTTTCTTAAAAAAAAAAAAAAAAAAACAACATTTCCCTATACATGGTCTCTAACTTGACAGAGCTGCTTTCTTGGACAAAACAGATGCTGTTGGAAGAGGCGCTCTGGCTGGACCATGAGCAGAACATGGAGACAGCCAGGCCCTGAAACTGGGGAGGTCGAGGAGGCAGAGGAGCTAAGGGAGCAGGTGGGAAACGGCTGCCTGCCCGCCCTGGGCGGCCCTCTGGGTGTTGCCTGCTTCCCAGGGGAGCCGCTGGAGGAGCAGTCCGTGTCTGGAGAGCTCAGTGGAGGCAGCGTACAAAAAAGAAAGAACCAACGTGGGGGAATCATGAAACAGCGCCATTTTAAGAAATCTGGTTAAAAAGAATACAAAAGTGACCCCACAGAGGGGGAGGCAGTGTTCCTACCCCTCCCGTTGTTGTTCCGTCTTGCTCTCTTAAATGGTAAGAATCCCTTTCAAGGATTTGTGTGTTGCTGGGTTTGGCTGGTTCTTTTACTGGATCTCTCCCTTGGCCCCTCTCCTTCAACTGCATTCATTTGAGAAAGCACCGACTTTACAGCTTCAGGGCTGCTGAGTGGTCGCCTCCTGGTGCGAGTGTGTGTGTGTGTGGGCACGTGCACTGTGCGTGTGTATAGTGGCTGTTTCTCTCTCTCCCGCCTGCCTCAGTCCAAGCCCCGAGGTCCCATCTGCTGGGTGCTGACAGTCTTCAGGAAGCACCCTGTTGGCACTAAGGTGAGGGCTTGGATGATCTCCACACCCTGGATTCGTGGGTCCCTTCCCTGCCCGGCACTGGAGTGGGTCTCCCATTAGCTACAGAGTTTGCCGGTCTCGTATTCCACAGGGTTTGGCAGCTTGGAGTTGAAAGCCCTCAGAGAAGACTGGATCCTGCCCACCTCATTGTTGGCCAGCTTGAGCCGATGCCGGAGCAAGCAGGAGAAAAGGTCAAGCCGGACCTTGCCAGGTGGAGAAAGCTGGTTGACCCGGTCCCTAAGCTCGATGAGCTGCAAGAGGGCAGAGTCCTGGGAACCTTGCGTGTATGGGTAGTCTAACTGGAGAATTAAGTCCCGGATGGCATCCGGGTCAAAGGGCAGGCTGTAACCAAAGACCTGCAAGGTGTTGATTTTCATGTAGCCCAAGTTCTTGGAGGGATCGGTCATCTCCAGGGGCTCGTAGTAGATTGTCTCATTGGAGTTGTCGTCCAGGGACTTGATTCGGCTCCGTAGGTAAACGTGGACCGTCTCAAAGAAGGTCTTCCACCTGTTGCCCAAGGTGATAGTCCAGTTTTGGCACTGGGCGGCTGCGTCCACATTAGTCCTCTCCCAGTCGGGGAAGCTGCCCTCACTCACGGGCATGAACCAGCTCTCAGAGTGGCTGCCCCCGAAGGGGTTGACGTAGATGGCCATGACAGGCTCCAAGGTGCTGTTCTTGGTGAGGCAGATCTGCAGGGACAGGGCCAGCATCACGTGCACCAGCCCAGGCTTGTACTTGTTGCTCTTGAGGGTGAGCAGCATGCGCTTCCTCCAGGACGGGTCGAACCAGCTGCCCAGACGCATGTCGTTGCTGATGAAGATGGAGTGCACCTCGATGCGGCTGTCCCGCTTCTGCAGCAGGTACTTCAGCTCCAGGTCCTGCAGGTCCGTCTCCAGCCCCAGAAAGTTCTCCAGGGACTCGGCCACCTCAGGGCGGCACAACCCCTGGGCGAGCACATAGCCCGGGTTGCAGCTCCCGCAGCGGGTGCTGTTGTCCGGGGCGCAGTGGGCACAGGCGGGCCCTTCGCCCAAGGCACAGGGGATGGGGCCCTGGCAGGAAGACTGGTCGTAGGGGCAGGTGCAGCTGTGGCTCTGTTCCAGGAAGGTGCCGGGGAAGGTGCTCTCCCCACAGTAGAGGAGGGACTGGATACGGTTCCACCAGTAGGGCAAGGACCTGTGGGAGAGGAAAGAGAAATGAAACAAGAATCACAGGAAGCCACACACTGCTGCTTCCCTGAGGGTGCCAGGAGGCTGACTAATAGGGAAGTTGATGAGGCAGATAAAAGCCCCAGGTCCTCTGAATGATGGAAACCCTACTGTACCACTTTGGGATGACCAGCAAGGCCTGGAGCTGGGTGTCTGATGTTTCAGCATCAGAAAGGTCTGACATCAAATTTGCACTCATCCCTCCCAAGTACCACCTCATTCCCTCATTCAAAAGCCTACAGAAGCGCTCAGAGTCTTCGATATCCAATCTCGTTTTCAGCCTCTTATGAAGATCTTCCAACAACTGGCTCTCCAAACCTCCCAATGATGTGCCCACCTCTTTCCCTCTTCACAATGTAGATCTGTCCTTTCTAGAACTCTCCCATCAAGGACAGGACTTCTCTATGGTTGGCTCCCTTTCTTAAGATTTAGATTTCAGTTCTTATGATACCTCCTCAAAGAGGTCTTCCGTGACTCCCCTTAAAAGCACCACCCAGCCCCTCTCTGTCATATCATACTGCTTTGAGGTGATCCACAGCCATGATCAGTATCAAAATGGATTCTGTTTGTTTATCGTTGACTTGTTCAGAGACGGCTCCCCTGCAAAGGCCACAAGAGCAGGGACACTGCATTCTTCACCAACACATCTTCAGAAACTAGGATTGTTCCTGGTGCCTGGTAAGCATTTCCTAACTATTTCTTGGGGGAAAAAAGAACCTTTCTCAAAAGCCCTTGCTGCTCTGTCCTTTCCACTCATGTGCCCCTTGTCACCTGTGCCTCAGTTAGAGGTGCACCTCTGGGTTCCCGAGAGGGCAGCACCCTCTCCTGGAGCGCTCTGGCTCACAAGCACCAGACCACTTTCATCTCCTCCTGGACAATCTGGTCAAGACATCCTTCTCCCAGGTGGCTTTTCTCTTGGACCTTTGATATTATCAGGACATGTCTTTGATTTATGTTCTTCCCTTACGGCTCAGCTGGTAAAGAATCTGCCTGCAGTGTGGGCAATCTGGGTTCGATCCCTGGGTTGGAAAGATCCCCTGGAGAAGGAAAAGGCTACCCACTCCAGTATTCTGGCCTGGAGAATTCCACGGACTGTATAGTCCATGGGGTCACAAAGAGTCGGACACAACTGAGCGACTTTCACTATCACTAACATGAATTTGGGCTTCCCAGGTGGTGCTAGTGGTAAAGAGCCTGCCTGCCAATGAAAGAGACGTAAGAGATGCCGGTTTGATACCTGGGTCAGGATGATCCCCTGGAGGAGGGCATGACAACTCACTTCAGTATTCTTGCCTGGAGAATCCCCATGGACAGAGGAGCCTGGCAGGCTGCAGTCCATGGGGTCACAAGAGTCGGATACAACTGAGCTACTGAGCACACAGCATGAATTCCCATAGCTGCTGCATAGTAATAATTTTTTAGTTTTGATGTTCCTATATATTTATTATGTCTTCCCAATTAACAAGTACCCTCCCTGCGTAATCTTAGGCCATACGAGGTAGACTCAACAAAGGCTTGTTGAATGCATGTGTGAATGAGCGATGGATGCTTGAAGGCCAGTGATGACCCAGCCCCCTCTGTTCCTAAGGACACAGGGCCTCAGCTCCCTTCACTCCTGTGAGTCAGAGTAGAGCTGCTGTTGGAAATGATCTACTGTGTGTTTCTCATCACACATAATCAGTGTGTGAGCTTTAACTCCACCCTTTCCTTTCCTCAAAGACTTATTAAAATGGAAATGAGTGAGTGAGAATGGGAATATTATTAGAGTAACATTCGAATTGACTATAATTTATATAAAAGTAAAATTAGCTTCTCTCTTTTTTTTTCACTTCAGACACATCTCATAATTGAGAATGAAGCGCAAGTAGGTCAGATAACAGGAGCCTCTGAAAGGCTACATGTGGGTCAGCACACCCAGCTCTGCCGTGTTGGACAGGGGCCCTCCAGGGCCCCAGCCACTGTTGTGGGCAGTGTGGCTCTGGCTCAGACACAGGGGTGCTCACCTCTCCTTGGGCAGACGGAAGCGGGGCTGCCGGTGGCAGCGCTTGCAGAGGTTGAAGAGCCGGCGGACGATGCGATGGGTCTTCTTGAACAGCACTCGCAAGCTGGCTCCCAGCTGCTGGTAGCGGTGCTGGAGGCTGGTGTCCACTGCCCAGAACTGGGAGATGGCTGTGGAGTTCAGGAATCTGTCATCTGGCAGTCGCTTCAGCAGGGCCTGGAATTCCTCTGTGGGTAAGGATACACGGGCTGAGCTGAGGGGGTGCCCTTCAGACCCTGGGTGGACAAGAGCCCCCCCTACCCCCAAGACCCAGCTTGCCCATCCATCACTGTATGAGGCAGGAGGCTTCACACCATTCTCCCAGGACTTTTGATTTCTTTCTTTTTAAACAGCTTTATTGAGAAATGATTGACATACCATAAGATAAGGTTCCAGGATTCTTCCCCCTCCAAACTATCTCTAACATGCTTCTGAATTTCAAAACACATCTCTGTCACCACCCATGTGGCCAGTGACCTTCGGCGCATCTCTTTTGCCATTAATACCTCCTTATAAATTATGCACAACCTTCTTGGATCACACCACAGCCCCCTTAGGGAAGGTGTGAGGCACTGGTTAAGGTGAGGGTGGGCAAGACTGGCAAATGTGGGCACAGAAGACGGAACACCCACCTCAGAAGCCTTAGAAGGCTTTCAGTTTCTGAGACCAGCCTCTCCCCCCAACATCCTTCTCTCTGACTCTAGCACATCCTTCCTCTCTTTTGAGATTCATCCCTTGACCAGATTAAGGACTTCCTGTAGCTCAAACAGTGAAGAATCTGTGTGTAGTGAAGGACACCAGCGTTCGATCCCTGGGTCGGGAAGATCCTCTGGAGAAGGGAATGGCAAGCCATCCAGTATTCCTGCCTGGAGAATCCCATGGACAGAGGAGCCTGTCAGGCTATAGTCTGTGGGGCTGCAAAGAGTTGGGTATGACTGAGCGACTCACACACACACTTTGGCTAGATATGCATACTTTTTTGAAGTTAGTCCAGAAGCAGAGTGCTTTCTGGTTCTTAGCTCTTACAAGTCTGACTTCCCCTCAGAGCTTCCTGGGAGCAATGTGTTTTCTGAAGTCATGCTCAGATCTCTGTCCACAAATCTGCTTTTACTTAGGACCTGCAGCCATCAGGTCTCCTGATAGGTCCGAATAGCCCTCCTTCACTCATTAGCAGAAACTCATAATGCTGAAAGCCCAAAGTCCTCGCCTACACACTCAAGCATCCCACTACCATCTCAACTACCTACCCATACTACCAGCCTGATGCCACCACCACTGGTCCAATGGAGCCAGGGTTGCTATTCTCCTCAGCTACTGAATACCTTGTCTAAGACGAGCTGGCAGTGCCTGGGTCCTCCATTCATTCTGATTTCTCCAGCCCCTGGTTCTTCATCCCCCACCCAGATGACTGGAAAAATCACACCTAGTAATGACATTAACAGCTAGTACATGCATAGTTCTGCTTATAAAACACTTAAGCATACAAAACGGCACAGAGAATAACAAAATGAACTCCCACAAGTCCACCACCTAGACCTTGCCATCTTGCTATATTGAATTCAGATTTTTTTGAAGAAATAGGCAAAGCAAATATACTTGAAGGTCCTAAACTTCCCCTCTGTCTTTATCTAGATATAACTACTCTCTTGAATGTTTTCTTTATCATTATCATATATTTTTTAACATTTTCTATGAATACATTTATCCATGAAAATACTAAGTATTGGCTAGTATGGTTTTAAACATCAATAGTACTAAATATGCATTATGTTAATAATTTATTATATTATATTATTATATAAGCATTACATAAATATAAATATGTATATAACACATAGCCTTTTTCATTTGCCTTGTTTTATCCAATATTATTTTCTGAGACATATCCACATAACTATTATTCACATAGTAGTGAAATGTATATCATGCAGAGTTCTTCATAATTTTATCCACATTGTTCCATATGAGTCATCCATCCACCGATTACTATCATTTTCCTACATTTACAGATGAAGAAATGGAGGCATTGAGTGGCTGCAAGGCTAAATCAAAGTCCTACAAAGGGTCAGTAATAGAGAGTACTAGGTCTGCCCAAGATGTTACAGCAAAACAGAGCAGAATGGATGGCTTATAAACAACCAAAATGTATTTCCAGGGGCTGGAAGTCCAAGGTCAAGAGGCTGTGGCTAGGTTCTGGTGAAAGTCCTCTCCTGGGCTGAAAATGGCCAAATTCTTGCTGGGTCCTCATGTGGTGGAAGAGGTAAGGGATCTCTCTGGGAACCCTTTTATATGAGAGTGCCAGTCCCATTCATGAAGATTCTGCTCTCATGACCTAATCACCTCCCCAGGCCCTCACCTCCTAATACCATCACCTTGGGCATTAGATTTTCAATATATAAATTGGGGGGCGGAGATACATTCAATCCATATCACAGAATAAGAACTCAAAACCCAGTCCTCTGAATCTAAGTCTCAAGGTGACACTGATATCAGTTATACTTGCACTAAGCAATCACCAGCATGAACTAGTGACTCCTAGAAACATGCTATGCACCTCACTCATTCAACAAATATTCACTGTGCACCTAACATGCAGGCAGTGTGGAATCTGTGGCAAATAAGATAGATGAGGTCTATGGCCTTGATTATATTTACCTTAGCTTATTAGGTCCTTGAAATGCATCTCTTTGGTAGGTATTAGGTCTATTTGCATATACAACAAAAGAAAACGACTGAGACTTGGGGTGGTGATATAACCTGCTGGAGGTCACAGACCAGTGACGTGGCTGAGTCAGGAACCAAGCTGAGTGTCCCGTGGAGTACCTCATGGCCTGCTCCCATTCACAGGGAGGAAACCTGGGCCAACCCACTGCTCACCTGACTCCTCGAACTGCCGGTTGTGAGTCGCCCAGGAGTCCTGGATCTGCAGCAGGCTGTCCTCCATGGCCTGGATGTCGGCGTCAGGACAGTTGCATTCTGGAAAGGTGGGGCTGCACTTGCACCAACAGTCATTCCCCTTGCAGATGAGCTCACCCTCGGAGCTGCAAGTGATGTAGCTGAGCGCAGCAGCCACGAAGCGCTCACGCAGGTACTCGGGCAGCAGCACCTGCAGGCCTAAGGAAAAGATGTATCAGGGAAAACTGCCTGGCAGGACCAGTGGGTACTCACTTTCCCACACCCGAGGCTGCAGAGTCCCCGGCTGGAGTTCTGCTGACGTGAGCATCCTGGGTTCAAGGATGTGCACCCCAGGCCTGATCCTGCTAAGCTGGTTGGGGTAGAGGGTTACTGCTACCCCTGTGGCAGATGGGGTACATCAAAGCTCAGGGCTTAGTTGAACCCTCACATCAGCCAAATTGAGAACGTGCCTATCATATGAACGGGCTTCTTGGCTACACATCAGCATTTCTAGGATGGAAATATGATGGTATTTCAGATAAAGGAAGAGCTTAGAGTCTTCATGGGGGTAAATCATCAAGGCTTGTTGGACTTTTTGCTCTGCCTCCAAGAGCCATTCTATCTCTAACTTCTCTGAGATGAGCAGCGGGCCTCCTAGGATATTACTAAATGCTGACCCTCCTGGGCCTGCCACCTTAGCCCTGAAGACCAAGGAGGCTGCCCTGCTTAGGAGGTAGGGACAGGTGTTGTGGGTATGTAGTGGCCAGGTATGACACCAAGTAATACTTCCCATATATGACTGCAGGTAACACTTGTGGTCATACTGAGGCTCTTACAGGTGAGGAAGTCCAATCCTCATGAGCACAGTGGTCTGCCCAAAGCACAGTGCTAGTAAAGCCAGGTTGTGCCCTTGTCCCCTTGGGTCCTACTGCACAACTGGGACTGGCTGCCCATCTCACGCTTTCACTCTTGAGGAGATTTGAAAGCAAGGTGGTGGTAGATGCTCCAAGTTAGATATGAATGCCTCTCAGCTCTCTTTTCTAATTAGCTTCCTCTGGTCTTGAATATAATCCACTCAGTTACTCCAAGATTCAGTTTTCCTACCCATCTGTGGTGCCTGCTTACAAAGTCACTTCAGTCATGTCTGACTCTTTGCAATCCTATGGACTATAGCCCACCAGGCCCCTCTATCCATAGGATTTCCCAGGCATGAATACTGGAGAGGGTTGCCATGCCCTTCTCCCAATCCAGAGATCTAACCCATGTCTCTTGTGTCTCCTGCATTGGCAGGTGGGTTCTTTACCACTAGCACCACTGGAGTGGTGGATATTGGTTTATCAGCAGCAGGATAGACTCCTAGTTGGCTTCTAGCCTATGAAGAGGTGAATGAATCATAGGCGCACCTTGGGATGCAAGCTGGCCAGGTTTGAGATCAGACCCACAGGAGGCTCCCTGAATAGGAACCCTAGGAGACACTGTGCCAGGAGAGTGAGGGACAAGAGGACTTCTGGATGGGATGGGCTCCCCTTTCATCAAATATCTGCTGGCTCTTTATCATCACACCCTTGACCTTGGCAGGAAATCAGAGAGTCCAAAGGATGTATCCCGGTGTCAGCAGACCTTAAAATAAAACTTAGAATTGCAGCTGCAGTGGATGTTTGTTGCTCTTGTTTGAGAGCTACTCCTGTCCAGAACTGCTCCTACGTTTTCCTTTCTTGACGATGTCCCTGCAATGGCACTTGAGCAGCCCTCCCCATGTACCCTGTCCACATGTGCTTGCTTCCCACACTCACCCCTCTCCAAGCCCTTTCCTTTCACCTCCCCCATTAGCTCCCTCCTCCTCCCCATAACATTTCCTATTGCTATAAAATAAGTGCCCTGAGCAATGTCTGCATGAGTGATGGGTTATAAAATTAAATGGCATAAACCATTCCAAATGAACCACCAGACACTCTGAACTTCACTCATTGCTAATTTCCAGAAACAAACCCAGCCCATCCAGGGACCTAGGAGAAGAGGGATGCTAATTGCATTGCACTGCGAGGCTTTAAAGAAAGGAGGCTTTTCCTCCTTTTTTATTATGTTTCTTGATGCCTAAAGCATTCAGGGGTTGCGTCTAACTCAGGTTGGCTGGAATTTGTCATCGTAGATCCTAGGTGAGGGCTATTGATTTTATAATACCAAGACAATCATATCTTAAACAGAGTACAATTCAGTTAGGCCTTAAGAAGAATGAACATTCCCCACTGCCAAACAGCTCTGACTCCATCTACATAGCTCTGCCCCGGGGATGCTTGGGGGACACCTGAGTGCATCCCCTTATCTCCCAGCCTCCAGACCTTGTGTCATTCCTGTTCCTGCTTGTTCTGTCCCCGGTTGAGGCTCCCACTCCTTTCAAACTCGTCTCCTGGCTTTGACCTCCCATGGAAGGATGCAGACTAGTAACAAAAAGTAGGGACCATTCTCAGGATAACCAGTAGTCCCACATTTTGTGTAGCTCTTAGTCGAGCTAGAGATGATGTCCCATGATCACTCTGCAAAGATCAGCTGTTCCGCAGAGGGTTCTTTGGACAACAAGGGAGATTGCCCAGCTAGACCAAGGCACAGAAGGATGGGAGTGCTCTTGCTATAGGATAGTGACAGAGATCTGGGGCAGGACTAGGAGGTAGGAGGATTCGGGTGTCGAGTGGTTTGAGCAGTGGTTGAGGTGTAAAGTAAACCATATCAGAAGTTTTCTCCAAAGAGTGACGGAAAGTTGTTAATTATAGGTCCCAGAACTAGGGATAGTTTTTGTCTTTGGAAGGGTCTAGCCAAATGAGGCAGATGGGACCTTTCCCTTTGGGTGATCTAAACCTTTTTTTTTTTTAAACCAGCCATGGAAAGTGTGAAAACCATCACAGGGTACCTTACCGAGTAACTGCACCTTGTTCTCTGGACTCTGTACCAGGACGGAGCTGACTGAGTCCAGGTTGTCGTAGTTGCTGCAGCCCAGGGGGCCGGTCCGGGTCTCCGTGACCTAGAGCAGGAAGGGTGGGTTTAGACAACAAGCAGAGACTCTCCCTTCGCACTTCCGTCTTCCGGTCAGCCATCCTCAGGCTCTGTGTCCTGTCCTGGACTGGCCCAAGGAAGGACATGGCTCTTCCTACGCTGGGAGCATGAAGCCACTTTTCCCCTTGTTCTGAGACAGGGAATATCAGTGCTGTGGGGCTGGCGGCAGCAGCTATCCAGAAGTGGAAGCCTTTCAGAGGACCCAGGGGGACTTTGTGTCTGGAAAAAAGAAACTCAGTGTAGGAAGAGGAAGTTGAGCCTCCACACTGGAGTTCTCCCATCTCCTCCCCCAGAGGAAGACAGGAGGCCAGATGCAGATGCTGTCAGCCCACTGGCCAGCCCAGCTGTAGCCACTTGATGTGGTGCTCACAGGCTTTAGGGATCCTGAAGATGAAATGCACTAGAGAAATATGAGTTATGAGTATTATTATTAATATTAAACATTTAAGTCCCACCTCGGCACTGAGACGTCCTTAGAGAAAATCAGCCATGGGCTTACTGCATATTTTAATAAGTATATTAAATATACATAATCTCTTATAGCTATGTAATATTCCAAAACACCACAGAGTCATTTTAAAATATTATAAAGTTGGACTATCGGTTTTTCCCTGATGTTTAAAGTATAAGATGAAAAATGGGGAGCTTTAAATGCACTGAAATAATTATGTAATAAGACTGATGGGGACCTGAGGCCCTTTCTTTTCAGGATCTCTGGAGGCTCTGCCAACAATCAATCAACCAATCAACTGGTATTTATTGGGTAGCCACTGTTCAATTCCCTGCAATTTATCAAACCTTCATAGAGTGCCTTTCTCAGAGTTCTTCAAGGAAGTCGGCTCTGATACCTCTGACCTTCTCTCCTAGCTCCAGGCACCTCTGCTCTGCAGCAAGCAGACGACTTGAAGTTTTCCATCCTTTCCTGCAAGTATTTAAAGCCTGAGTCCTCCACACATGAAAGGCTCCACATAGGTAAGCTCATAGTTATTTTGCTCATGAGATTGTTAACAGCAATTAACACAGTGGCTGGCACCTAATATGTACTCAATAAATTAGAGTGTGTGTAATATGTTTCGGGCTTTGAGGGGTGGAGAGGTGGGCATAAAGATGTACAGGTTATACTGTGTGTCCTCCAGGAGGTTACAACCTGTGGGAAGACAGGTACATATCCAACTGACTGATACACCTCCTGGTGGAGAAGAGGTAACATGTCCTAACGAGCCCTGAGGAAAGTGCAGTTCTAAGCAAGGGAAGGAGTTTCAGAGGAGAGAGCAACTGAGTTGTTCCTTCAAGATGAGTAAAACATGGACAGGAAGAGAATGGAGGGGAAGTACTCTCAGAAAAAGAAGGGGCGGCATGATCTACAACATATGGGCTTGATAAGTGTGAGATGTAATGTGTCTGCCACTCTGCAAGTTATCACAGTGAATTCCAAAGTATAAGTGACATCGTTAAAGAGAATTTAGTATAGTTAGTCCTGAAAACTACACATGGAACAGAGTAGATGACAGGTGGTGTGATACTAATACAGTGAAGAGAGAGAAGGGAAAAAATGTTGTTGCTTAAAGTAGTATGAGAAGGCTTCATGGAGGAGGTGATCCATAAATTGGTCTTAAAGGATAAGAGGGAAGAGAAAGACTACAGGGCAAGCAACAGACCCTGTGCATGAGAAGCAGCAAGACCCAGCCTGGATGGGGAATAGGATCAAGGCTATGACAGAGGCAGGAAACCCCTCTACAGTTTCCAAGCTCATCCTCCAAGATCATCCCATTTAACCTTCACACTAACTCTGAGAGAGATCGCACTACTATCATGTTTCAGGGAAAGATACAAGGTTTAGGAAGATACTAGACCCAAAGACTCAGAGCTATTGAGTAGATGAGATAGGATTTTGACTTCAGAATCCTCAGACTTCAGTTCCTGGCCCCAGTATCTCCTGTGAGGGCATATCAGAGGGCTACAGACAATGGAGTTAAACCCATATAGACAACATCACTCTAAAAAACAAGTGTCAACAGACCAGCTCATCCAAAACATTTTAGTGATCTACCCTCTCTGCAGAAGGTGAACATGGCATAAGACAAATTGTATAGACTTTATTTTTTATTGGGATATATTTGCTTCACAGTGTTGTGTTAATTTCTACTGTACAGCAAAGTGAATCTGCTATACATATACACATATCCCCTCTTTTTTGGATTTCCTTTCCCATTTAAGTCACCGCAGAGCATTGGATAGAGTTCCCTGTGCTATATAGTAGGTTCTCACGAGTTATCTATTTTATGCATTGTATCAGAAGGCTTTAGATATTATGATTACAGATGAGGAAATCAAGACCAGATAGGTTAAGTGATTTCTTCAAGGTCACACAGTCAGCTGCAGGGCTACAATTCATTTGACTCATTCATTCATTCTTTCACTCATTTATTCATTTATGAAATATTCCAGGAGAATCCAAAACTCACAGTGAGCCAGTCACTACCATAAGGAGTTTACAGACAAGTGGAAACATGTTATACTGACATAATCCCCGTGTTACACACGAGCCTGCCTCCCTCCATAGGTGGGCACTTGGTGCTGAATAATGTCTCTGTATTGAGTGAGTTGGTGACTGGCTACTGCAGTGGGAAGGAAGAACCAGGATTATTTCAAGGTAAAGCTTTCTTTATCTATTTGGTGCAAAAATTCCTATAGGAGCTGTGGCCAAGGACTAGCCCAGCTATTCGGGGAAGCCTGTCTCTCTTGGAATGGAGTGGGCTGAAAGAGTGGGATGGGGGTGTGTGGTATTTGGGAGGTTTGCCTGTCCCCGCCTCCAGGTAAGCAGGCCACCACACTGTCACTGAGTTCTGCACTGGCTTTTCTATCCACCCACTCACCAGTTGAACACTCACCAGCATCAGGTCCATGCAGGGAGAAAGCTACATGCCTTATGCAGAAGTAGGACCACTCCTGAGAGGGTGAACAGAGCACTGCAACTTTCCGCTTTTTCATTCCACCCCTGTCCCTCCCTCTCTACCACCGATTCATCTGCCCTCCTCCCGAACCCCACCACCATCTTGTTAAACATTCTGGGGCCGGCTCCCATGCAATTTTCTGACCTTTACTTACCCATTTCCAAAGGTCAGTTCTAAAGAGAACAATCAATTAGGTGAGTCATTGAAAGGGTGTGCGTAGCTCTACTTTGTTAATTGCAGCACAGGGATGGGAAGGAGGAATAGACAGAAACTGCGATTCCCCCTGTTCATTTCTTGTTAGAGGGAATGATTCAAGCCAGATCTCCAGCAGTGAGGAAGGCTCGCTCAGGTTTTACCAGATCACAGAGTCACTGCCCTTTCTATGGCTCCTCTGCCCTGAGCCACCTCTGACCTCCCAGAGAAGCAAGGAGGTGGGAAGCAGGAGGGGATTTGCAGACGGTCCTCTTGCAGATGGTGCCTAAGCACTGACTTAACAGGCGAGATGAGTCGAGGACCCCCAGACCTGCGGAGTGATCAAAGTCCCAGAGTCCCTGGCAGGTTGGTCCAGGAACCCTGTGTCTCTCCCTGTAGAAGAGGCAGACAGCTTTGGTGGATTATAAAGAGGGCCGCGGAGGTAATGGAAAGTGCAGCTCAAAGAGAGCCTCAGATAAGCTTTCAGAAAGAGAAAATAATTGTGTGCTAATTGGTCTGTTGACAGAAACCGTCCTGCCTTCAGAAAGCCCTGATGGATCTCAGGTTCATTAGCACATCCAATTTTCCATAAATGCCGGATTGTGCAAACCCTCATTTGGGTGAGCCTGCTCTCCCCCCCTTGCCCTTCACTCCCCGGCTGCTCTCATCCTACCGGGTTGGGGGGGGGGGGTGCGGGTGCTGGCTTGCTGCACAGCTAAGTTCCAGTAAAATGGGCTTCTAATTGTGAGGGATAGGGCTGGCCAGAGAAGCACGGCTGAGAGTGTGTGGGATTCAAAGAGCTGCAAATTGAACCCCAGGCTGCTGCAGGCAGGAATCTGGACAAGTCACTTTAAGGATGCTTATGAGAACCATTCCCTCTTGCCATCCTGAGGTCTATGCAAGCTTGTGTGGGGCCTCTTTTCAGGCAGCTCATGAGCCTCTCAGGCTCCCCACCAAGCCCTTCCTCAGCCTTCAATTAAGTAGAGGGTGAGTTACAACTGGGGTTTCCCAGCTGGCGCTAGTGACAAAGAACCTGCCTGCCAGTGCAGGAGATAGAAGAGGTACAGGTTCAATTCCTGGATGGGGAAGATCCCCTGGAGGAGGACCTGGCAACCAACTGCAGTATTCTTGCCTGGAGAATCTCTAGGACACAGGAGCCTGGAAGGTTATAGTCCATAGGGTCTGCAAAGAGTTGGACACGACTGCAGTGACTTAGCACGCACACATGAGCTAAAACTACAAAATATGCCCCTGCCCTCTTCTGGACTCCTATCCCTTCCCAGGAATTATGGATAGGATGAATCTGTATTCAGCCCTTTCCAGTTTGCAAAGTGTTTTCATGTGAACCATATCATTTGGTGCTACCCGATCCTACAGTAGAGTAAGGGGTGATATTCACAATGTTATCCACGGTGTGTATCAGCAGAGGGGACAGGAGTGTGCTCACTAATCAGAAGACGTGTCAGCTATAGGGCCATAGTGAGGTGCAATGATCCCAAGGTGCATCAGTCCTCTGGTTACTATTTGGGGAGATCCTGGGGTTCCAGGGGAGGGATAAAGGTGGTTAGAGTGGCACATTGCAGACCAGGTGAAGATGACTCACCACTCTGTATGGAAGTATTTAATATTTTAATAACTGATGTGGCCCAATCAGATGAATCTTAGTCCTGTATAGGTGAGTCAAATAGTTGGTAAATCCAGGTCATAGAGTTCAATAACTAACATCTCAAGGTCACAGGAATAGTAAATATCAAGGTTGAACTCCAGTCCCTGGTGTTCTCACTTGAGGAAGTTCATCTCCTATTAAACCAGGTAGCCTGCC